AGCATCTAAGACGCATGTTTAATAATCATATAACAGAAAAGTGGTCACTGCATTGAAGTCTCATTCTCAGACGGGTGCAAATACATCTGGTCATATGGCGAGTTACTGGGTGTTCGCCTCGGTTAAATACGCTGTAATCATAAGCCAGCACGAGCGGCCACACGCAACACGTGAGATGTAACACGCAACACGCAACACCTGGCACCGGTGACAGATATGCCGCGGACGAATGACATGCGCTCACCGTACCATAAACACCCGGGCAAGTCAACGTCAACTGCAAGCCGGAACATCGCTAACCATCCAAGGGCAGTTCGAGGACAAGTGGACAAGCATGAGAGAGCCGCACGCTACGCGCTGAAAGGTGAAGCTGACCACAACCGGAACAAAAGAATGGGCATGCACCATACACGCGGAATGCAAACAGTCTACGGCTACCTGCTAGTTAGCTAGCGCCACCTGACATAACGGTGTACCGCTCAATACATGACTCAGTGGGACACAAAAGCGGAGGACAAAACACATGCCCGCATTTAGCGCATTGTGCACGGGAAAGCACGCTTCCATAGTGCCACTCCCACCTGGTTTCCAACTCGTTGTAGAAGACCTTGTCATTCCGGGTGATGAAGAAGTAGTTTTCCTCGTACCCCTTGGAGGCCTTGTTCTTCACGTTCCAGTTGTACTCGCGATGCATGACGTAGTCGTACTCCATGTCATCCTGCAACGACCACGATTCAAAGCGTCACCTTCCAAAGAACTGAGGGTCTCCTCATGCCAAGACTTTTGGACTTTTTGAGGTTCTCCTTCCCTAGCGTCGCTACAGGCGTACTGTTCATGCAACACATCATTGGAGAACAGACATTGAAAATAAGCACAGTGAAGCTGCCCATTACGGGGATTCACACAAACAATTCGTTCGGAGAAAAAGGCAAGTATCCCCCAAGTTCCAGGTTCTGGACCATTCCCGTAGATAGGAGACTAGACTGTCAAAATCCCCGGGAGCTGCGCATTTCACGAAGGAACCCGTTGTGAACCATTGTGAGCAGGCCATCGTAAGATTTTTATGTAATGGCGAATAAGACTGAAGACATCATATATTGTGCTGATACGGCTCACAGAAAAGAAAACATACATAACATAAGAGCAATCAAATGGGTATGGATAGCCAAATTTCAAGGTGAGGTTTTAATTCCAGCGATGGCCGTTGCACGACGCAACTTGGTAGTGTTGCGTGCAAATGTGGCCTGTGATATAGCACATTACGTATTTGGGCTAATTTATTCGGAATGGCTTGCATGGGTGACTTTGTGTCCAGGGTATATGCATAGCTTGCTCCATGTACCCACAACCCACTACCTAAGCTGGACAGTCCAGTTCAACGGACAATTTTCCCACGCCCAATCGGTAGACGTGACTGCAGAGAGTTTAGGTGCCACGCAATGCTACCGCGCGACCATCCGGGTCTAAGTTGATCCTAGGTGGCCAGTTGCCAGCTGACCTTTCCACCTCAGTCGGGCGAGACAATGCGACCGCTCTGAGACTTGTACCTATTGCCGCCGGATCATGAAACCAGTATCTTTCTCATAGACCAAGAAGGTGGCAAAAATAGAACACAAACATAAAAATGCCGAATTGTAAAATGTGTTATGCAGTACTAATCAAATCTGTTGTGCAGTACCTACCCTGTATTCGTCACCAGCTTCAACATCTTCTTTCCTTTTGACCAGTGTCTCTTCAGTCGGAAGGAAGTATGCGACAAACTGCTCCTCAAATTCGTCCATCACACCCCTGGGGACAACAGTAAATTAATGTAAACACAATGGAAAATAACATTACCAAATGAAAAACGATACACCATGCACACAGACCACATCAAACAAATGATGCTTGCCTCAGCTGTAGCTTCCGGTTAACTTTGTGGCCTCCAGCCCACGTCGAAAACAAAGACATGCGCTTCCATGAATCCCCTCCCACGCTGTTAAAATCCTCAGACAGAACGACTTCCACTACACATCTCCGTAGTCACACCAAGCCCTCCAAGTCCAATTCCGATCAGCGCCCTGAGCTCAGCTCTCGCGCCCTCAGTTCAACTCTCGCACCCCTTTTCGTACGGACCTGATCATAGCCTGCGACATGACCTCGACCTGCTCGGCGGCCGGGATGTCCTGCGGCGCCGGGTCAGAGTCGAAGATGACCTGGGCGCATGGGAACTTCCAAAGCTGCAAAACGACGGTTCAATCAGACGCCAGAAGAGCCATGGGCCCACGGCACGGCCTCTCCCGCGTAGCACTCGATCGCTGGAAGACATTGCCGTCGTCACCACAGACCCACCCAGCAGTGGCACGCAAGGCTGAAAGACCGGCTCAACCAACTTTTGTCGACCACGCATCCATCACATTCCTCCGTCTAGAAGTACACTAGGTTAACACACATGATTTGTGTCCATTTGATGGCTCTCCTGCTGTCGCCGCATGCGCTCACATCATAAAAACACGATGGAACGGCAGGTGATAGAACACGGCGATAGCAGGGAGCAGCCAGTGGACAGCTCAAAGAATGGCAGGGGACGGAATGTTGGTGCCCTATGGATCAGTATAAGACTTGAGAAGAGGAGGAAGGCAGGAGGAAACAAAGGACATCAGTGTGACAGATAGCAGCATGAGAAGATGGCCGGGGTCAGGATAAAGGAATGACAGGGGACAACATAAAGGAATATTAAGGGGAGCACAAGGGACGACAGGGGAAAGCACAGGAGGATGACATGGGGAGCACAAGAGAATGACGGGGTTAACACAAGGGACGACAGGGGTGGTACAGGGGGATGGCAGGGATGGGCTCATACGTCGAAGTCGGGGAAGACGGGCATCTCGGCGACGGCGGTGACCCCGGGTTTGCTATAGTGCTTCAGCACTGGCTTCTTCACGTCCTCAAACGTCTTCTCGATGGCAGCAATCTGAGAGTCCCGGTCCATGTACATGTTGTCCGCCTGGGCAGAGTGAGGTAATAAGTCAGTGTCACCAAATGGTAATGAATGATGGGGCAGCAGATCTCCCACTATGGGGAGGAACATACAGAGCTGGCACACAGCCGGGAACGGCACTTCATTCGAAACCCTAGTAAAAGGCAAACTGAATTAACAGTGATCAATGGCCCCTCACACAGGCCATTAGCCTGCATTACAGGACAAGGCACTCTAGGAAGTCACTGCCACGCCGGCAAGCACCAGGGCCTACACTTATGCTCGTGTCACCTTCACACAATGAAAATGTATTTTGACTCAGGAGTTTTTGGAGCTTGGCCATGGGTTACATCAAGGCTTTTGGGTTCAGAAGCGTTTTGACTTACTCGGTCATTATGCAGGTTAAATCAATGTTACTTTCATACAATAAATTGATAAAATGTATCATTCAGCAGCTATTTGATTATTCCTCTGTGTTACGAATTGAAGCAAGAGTGGAATCACCCTCATTCGAATCAACTCTGCATGTGCGGAGTCTGTGCACACACATCGGTGCTAGGTCAGAGTTCTCTCTCCAGTACTCCCCACACTGAGCACCTGCACTCCATCCCAGTGCCCGCGACCGCCCCCTCCCAAAACTCAGCGAGTGCTCACCATTTGCTTCTTGATGCTGAAGCCGACCTTGGACTCAATCTTGTCCATGGTTGTCGGCTGGAACCGGGTGAGCTCTGTCGAGATGTACTCGGTCCGGCGCAGCCAGGACACGTTCTTGGCATGGTGGCGCGACCTGGCGGGTCGGGGCGTCGTCACGGAGGCCACCGTCGGCCGGCACACGTGCCCAGCCCCGCCACGCAGGCAGAGCGGCGCACGGGCCAGCACCAGACCGGCTCACACGCGGCGCCAAACGCCGCGGCAGTCAAACCGCAGCGCCTCTGGGGCCGAGGTGAAATGGCTCTGGCAGTGCGACCGCACCACCTCTGGGATCGAGGCCCATATCGGACCGCGGCAGCGCGACCACAGCACCTCTGGGACAGAGGCCCATATCAGGACCGGGCAGCGCGACCACATCACCTCTGGGACCGAGGCCCGTATCAGGCCACGGACTGCGCGACCACAGCACCTCTGGGACCGGGCCCATATCGGACCGCGGCAGCGCGACCACAGCACCTCTGGGACAGAGGCCCATATGAGACCGGGGCAGCGCGACCACAGCACCTCTGGGACCGAGGCCCGTATCAGGCCACGACTGCGCGACCACAGAGCCTCCGAAACCAAGGCCCACCTCAGTTGGCGGCGGCGCCTATGGGACCGAGACCCACGACCGGCCGGGTCCTCCATCGCCCGACCACCGAGCTCGTCTCGCTCTCAGTCACGCGGCCCAAGACCCGCCCGTCTCCCCGCGCCGCCTGGCGCCGTCCGCTCACCGTTTGAAGTCCTGCGGCGCTAGCGAGTCCTCCTCGAGCAGCCGCTCGTCGGCCGGATCGAGCTCGCCGCCTGGATCTGCCGCGTACCGATCCGGATCGATCAGGTCGATCGTCACGCCCAGGTCGTGCTCCGTCAGCAGCTCATGCTTGTAGTTGCGCTCCAGCGACGTCGGGTTGTAAGCCACGTACCTGGATCGCGGCGGGACGCGTCACAGGCGCGTACACTCGGGATAGGCCGATAGGCTACCCAATGTTAAGATTCGGCAAATGGTCCAAGTGTACAAATATTATGTACTTGCAATGGCTACCTGCACATATTCCCTGGGGCAGCTGCTAGTCTGCTGGTATGTGGTGAAACACATGCAAATTCAAACTGAGCCAATGCTTGCAGGATGCATAAAGATCAGTTCCAAAGGAGCCACAAGGTGCATCATCAAAGATGAAAAATGGCCCTCTGGTAGGATTTCACCTTTTGTTGGACCAAACACTTCAATAAGTATTTTCCCATCTGCTGCAGAAATAAATGGAATACTTCACATTCATACAGCATGATGAGGGAGACATAACTGCATGTGCAATGTCTTTAAGATCAGAGCTGTACTACTCAGCAGATAGATATCAGTCTTACCTGTTGCCCTCAAAAGGGTAGTTGATAAACTTGGGATCAAATGGAATGTCTGGTAGTGTATTGCAATATTTCACACCACAGACCAATTCTGACCTGAAAGTATTATAGGAAAATGTGAGCTCATGCAGTCAAGTTATTTTCTAAACTGCATATTGCACAACATTTCATACAAGTGATAAACCATAACAGTCAACCAAGTGTTTCCAAATGATAGCCTCAACAAGCACCATTGAATAGAACCATGTATGTTGGCAATGTCTACAGATAACAAGCCAGCATCCATAACACAACTTCGTAAAGTACTTTTTGTTACACCTTGCTAAGCCTTAAATTTAAAGTTAATTTATTTACCCTTACAGAGCAAGTTTCAGAAAACATATTACCTCCTCTCAACAGTGTGAGGGTGTTTTGGTTGCGGCTTGCCACTCTGCACGGTTGGTGGCATGATGGATTGAAATTAGGTCTGTTTGGCTATTCCTGAACACCTGTAAACAAAGTCCACCACATACATGTCATCCATACAAGATGATGATTTTGGTTTTATGGTGCACAAACTGCCTGGTCATCTGGTGCCCATTATGTCATCCATAAATTAAAAATGGGGAAGGACAGGGTGGTTTTGATGAAGAACAAATGAGGCATCACAAGGGACAGGTTTTGGGCACATAATGTAATATAATGACCATGCATGGATGTGACCCCTGTCATATTTTACAAGGGACAGGTTTCAGGGCACATAATGTAATATAATGATCATGCATGGCTGTGACTCCTGTCATATTTTCTAACTATGAAACCTTAATGCAGGATGCCACAAGTAGACTGCAAAAATGTGCACTACACCAAACATGTCTGACACAACACCAAAATTACTGCCACAATTTTAGAGCACATACATTTTAAATCTAGGCACTTACAATTCAACACAAGGCCACAATCAATTCTGAGCATAGGAAGCCAATGACTTGAGGAATAATAATATTGCAAAGGTAATTTCAGGCAAAAATAATATTACAGCAGAAAAAATCAGCACACTTTCATCTGACCAAAGTCTGATGTACATAAGACAGAGGCTGAGCTCAAAGCTGACTTGAAGCTGTCTGATACAGTGGAGTGATTTTTTTAGAACCAACCTCCTCACTAGACACGGAACGCACCAGTTCTTGTTGGAATACTAAGCTGATAGCTGAACATAACATTAATGGCAAAAGAGGTCTGACCAGTATATGCAGTGCATAATTTGAGGGCTATGGCAAAAGAGAATGCAGCATAATTTAGGAGGATTCCATGGAAACCAGTCAATATATTTCAAGGCTATTTTCACATGTCAATAGACTAACTGAAAGCGCAATGGCGCTCAGAGGGGGAAACCAAGCAATAAAGATGACACCAGCGGCTACGTTTTT